GCGAATCTCTTGGGCTTCAATTTTGTCGCTGGCTTGGAAACCCCCACTCCGTACCGTCGTCGAACCTCACCACAAATCGTCTTGATCAAATCATTGTGTTCTGGTTTGGTAGCCTTACTCATGAGGAATCTTTCACCAGCATCTACCGCATCTGTGAGGATACCCTTACGTTTCGTGTAAGCTAGGGCACGTTTTGCTCCACTTTTAACATCAGTCATAGTTAAACGACCTCCATCGTTAGGGTTACTCTCGATGTCGCTGTCATAAACCCCGATACCAGTCATAGAACGAATAGCAGCTCTCGCCGGAATAGCTCCTTGTGGTGCTCCAAGAGCGGTTGCAAGAGCAGGAACGGCGGCGTCGGCAACGCGGGACAAGATACCCGAGTCTTTCGCGAACCCATACAATGACTTGATTCCTCCCCAGATTTTACTGAAAATTGAAGCCCCATGCATGCCTCCACCTTGCATATGCTTGAACGGATAGGCTATTTCTTTATGAGTGATAGCTAAACGCGTTCCTTTACCAGATTTTTGAGCTCGAAGAGCTTTTGCATAAGATTCGGGGTGAAGATGGAGCGTTGCATCGTTTCCAGCTAATTCAGCTGCACTAAGTGATAAAGTACCTGTCTTGAATGCTCTCTTGAGCTTCGTTTCTGGAACAGATGCTGAAACTGCTAACTCTTTGTACATACTTGATTATAATTGATTAGAGAAACACTGATTTTTTACGAAAGAATTGTTAAATTCAGGTCTTTGAATCTTTCTAATACATTCATTTTCCTTTGTTGTTTGCAATATAACCATAGCATGCACCATACACCACAATAGTCTCCATAAGTACCTTGATACTGCTTGGGATTATATTTCCCGATTCCGTACTTGGTCGGAGCGGCCTCACCCATAGAATCGAAGTACTCCCCGCTATCGACACATGTCCAGTGTCCAATGTCTCGGTTAGGAGTTCTCAATAGTATCAGATAAGTCCCTGTCTTTGAAATGGGTTTTACAATTTCATTCGATTCAAATATTCCGTCCAGATGTACTCCAATTCGATCAGCAAGCTTGATAAGATCGTGGTCGCTGGTGATTGGTTTAATGAGATCGACCATAATATTTAATTTCACGAAAGTATATTAGAATCCATATAGATTCAACCATGAGCGAAACTCAACTATCCGATCAATATTTATACCAGAGCTCGCTTCAAAGCGACCCGGAGATGAAAGTGTCTTCGGGAAAACGCGTTCCTTTCGTCATCGACCTTAACCAAGTGTCATACCAGAATGGTGTTATCACTATTGATGCAACAGCTCAGCTTAATGGGAGTGAAGGATTTGCTTGCCTACGCGATGCATACATCATGCTTCCATACAAGGTTTCGATGAAGAATGGCGGTACTGTTCAGACAGCTGCTGCCAACCGTTTCTGCGCTACCCTCAAATCGAAGTCATCGATAGCATGTCGCTTGAATTGAATGGGAAAACTATTGTTTCAATGGCTGACTACAAGCTCTTTTGGAACAATGTACGAGCACAGACAGGCTACAGCCCTCAGTATGTTGAGAAGCACGGGGCTGAATCATTCCTGTACCCTGATGCTGCTCAATCCGTTTCATACAGCGCTGCTACATCATCAACTACTGGAGATGGATTCTCCAATAACTCTGTATTCTCTTCCTCATTTGCCACTGCTGCTCCTTCTGGTGGTGCTACAATTGCTAATGATGGTCTCGTCAGACGACTATTGTCAAATCCTCCTAATGCTGGAACTGACTTTACTTCGACGTGGCCTTCACTTGGCGCGGCTGCGGCTTCAACGAACATTGCTAACCAAACTGCGCGTGGTGCCTTCGTTGCTGGAGTCTCCACGGCTAATGGAATCATGGGGACGTGGAACTATATGCTTAAGGTGAAACTAACTGACTTGCACCCAATATTTAAAGAACTTGACCTGATGGCTAACCCTCAGATCCGTCTTCGATTCCGTGTCAACCAGGGAACTTCTGTTGTAGCTGTTGATGCAGGTAAGGGAATGTCTCTAACAAGCACTACTCTTGCATCTGGTAATACCTGCCCCGTATTGGTATCTGCCTCAAGTACGGGTAATCCTATGGCTGGAGTCCTTGCTGCATCTGCCGGGTTTAGCATTGCTTGGGGAGCTGTTGTCAATTCCCTCGAGCCTACTATTGATGGTACCTATATGCCTTTCACAACTTCGCGTCTTTACGTACCGTTTGTTCATCTTGAGAACCCTCAGGCAATTATATCGAAGCCTGTAAAGAAGGTTCGATACAATGATTGTTACGCACAGTGGTTTAATCAGCGAGCTGGAATCGGAAAGCAATCAACTCAGTTCAACGCTGCTTTCGATCTCCAGCTATCGGCATCCATTAAGAATGCTAAATATGTCATTCTCCTCCCGTTTGCTGAGCAGACGAGCAGCTTTGCAGCTGCTGCTATCCAGGAGTTTCAAAGTCCTTTTGACTCGGCTCCTTGGACGGTGCATCCTGGTTCGAGCATCCGCAACTTCAATGTTCGTATCGGTTCTCAGCAAGTATTCGATATCAGTCATGACTACGACTTCCACCATTTCACGAATGAAATCGGTAAGATCTCAGCGATCAATGGTGATCTGACTCCTGAGTTGGTCAATGGTCTTCTTGACTATCAGACATGGTCTCTAACTAACCGTGTTCTTGTTGCTGACGTTAGCCGACTAACTGATCGCGACGTCCCTACATCAATTCAGATTCAGGGAACAAACGCGGGATGTCAAGGCTGTAATATTCTGGTCATTGTCGTATCTGAACAGGAACTAACCTATGATCGCCTGACAGGAGAAGTTTTAGAATTTACTACCGCCTAGTCTTGATAACATTTGGTAGAAAAAAAAAGTTGTGACCTAACTTACTGCATCAAAGCCTCGAGTAACTTAGGACATTTTTCAATAACGAATTGACTTTTACGTAGCCAATCGATATAGTTAGGATCAACTCGACTGATCTGTTTTAGTGTCTTGCCTCGCCATTTCCCCCAGGACATTAAATACGAGTCGTCGTCAGTGAGAAATTTGGAGTGTAAAAATATTTTGATCTCCTCTCCAACATTTAAACTGGGCTGATTGAATACCCATCGACAATAGCCTGGATCAGAAGCATATACTTCCTCGATGGTCTTGCCAGAATATTTTCCAAAAGTTAGCTCGCTCGTCATGTTTTCTGTGATGTACTGTATCTATATACACCCCCCTATCTTTTTTTTTCAAAATTAATAAATATTTTAGATACATGGTTTTACGGTAATAAAAAAACTCAGAAATTTATAAGCTAAAATAAATGCTAGCCTCTCTTAGACATATCTTATACGGGTTTGATGATCCTAATGTTCTAAGACTATTGATTGGCTGTCTAATTAGAAACAGTCTCTGTATTATACTTTAGATTAGAAACAATTAAACCTACTCTCGGCTATTAATTAAGCTGAGAATTAGCTAAATTAAAAAACTGCCGGCGTAATGTTCTAGATATTACTAC